TGGACATGCTTGGCCTAGAGCTTCACAAAAGCAAATATTGCTCTAAAATAACACTTATCAAATAAATAATTTCCCCAACAATTGCAGTGAGATAGATCAGAACGTTATTTTTTCTCCACGTTTCTGCTTTGGCAGAGATGATGATGTTAGCTTTTCCCCATTGAAGTGTAGTAGAGTTCTATCGATGAGGACATTTCACCTCCTACAATAGATGCAAACAAAAAAGATCAAGATCTTTTGTTTGTTTGACAATTAAAATACTTTTTGCTTAAAACCATAGATGTTATAAGAAAGGTAGAGTGAAGCTGCTCAGAAACGGTTCTGGACATCTTGCCACAACACCAAGTCTGTAGCAAGCCATTTGTTTCACCGTGGGAATTCTTGTAGCTTGTCCCAAACCTTTGTTTTAAAACGGCATCACTTTAAAAAGAGTGATGGGTGAGGCTTCTTTGGTGACGGGTCATGACTGACTGCATTTTTTTCTTGTACCAAGTAACCAAACAGGTGAGGAGAAAAGGTGAAGTGAAATTCCCTTCAAATATCTCTCAGCTGCAAGTTACCACCGTAACAAAAATAACAGGTGTTCATGAACAACGTTTTTCATTAAATATAATTGTTTCACCAAGAGTGTACCTATTCAAAAACACCCTTTGTGAAGGAAAAGAAATTGCAGGTATGCTCCTGTATGCCGTCACTAATTCTGCTGGTCAGGAATCTTCAGTTTCCACCAGTTTAATAGATCAACACAGAGGAGTGCACAGTTGTTCTGGCTGGGAAGGTGCATTTCATCCTCAGCCATGGTTTCCATTTCATAATACTTCGAAGAAAACTCACGACTGTGACGGAAAGAGATTTGACATTGTTGGATTACGAATATCATCCGTGTCTTGAAAAGCACCAAGGCAGTTGGTAAAATTGATGCATTACTGCCATTTTGTGGTAGAACCAGAAGCTCATTACTACCAGATTTTAGTGTATACAAAAGATGGATCGAGAGGAGCCTTTAGAGGTGGTTTGAGCATCTGGTAAGGATGACCCCTGGACACGTCCCTAGGGAGGTTTCCAAGGCAAGTCCAACTGAAAGAAGACATGTGGGAAGACCCAGGACATGCTGGAGAGACTGTCTTTCAGCTGGTCTTGGAATGCCTTGGAAACCTTCCAGAAGAGCTGGAACAGGTGGCTGTGGACAGAGATGTTTGGACCTCCTTGTTCAAGCTGCTATCCCTTGACCTGACTATGAACCAAGAGGAAGATAACCATGGATAGACATAAGAAAATTTTTACGATGGTCCAACAACGACCTCTTGACAGACTGGTTGTCCACCAAAATGTTTGGTTGTCTGCTATAAAGAAGGCAAAAAATCTCAATAACAGTGTAATTTAATACATATTTGTAGTCCTGGGGAGATGCTAGAGGGGTGGGAGTGTGTAGCAGAGCGCCACTTCCCTTCCCGTCTGGAAGTGACAGAGCGGGGGGGTTTGTTAGGCAGGGTGCTTGGCTCTGTTGACAGGGCCGGGTGCCTTTCTTGGATAATGGTAGGGGAAACACTGCGTTTAATATCCTGATGCGTGCTCAGTAATCCAGAAATCCATTGCAGCGACAAGATAACTTCTACCCAAGTCTATTTCATTGGCTGTCCACTGGACAACCTCGAGGCGAGATCTGAATGACTGAGACAAAAGTAGGTTGTCTCGGATGAACGGGAACTGCTTATGTCGACCTCCCTGATAACAAATGGATAAAAGACAAAAACTTATCAAGATGGTTCCGTTCAGTATGAATATTTGAAAATCATTGTCTGTAACCACCACGTTGTCCTTTCTTGATCATCTTGTACTAAAATGTTAACTCGGCCATCCAGTAATGGTCAATCAGGTCATCTGGACAGTTTCTTTTTTGTGGAAAGATGTTTCGCCTTCTATCCGGAGGGCTTCATCAGTCTGAAGAGTCCCAAGTAAACTGTTTCACCCACTAAGCAGTACACTCCTTTAGTGGAACAACCTGTTAGATGGTGATGAGATGGTTTCTGGGGACTGTCCTGCCCCCCGTCGACTCCTCCCAGGCAGCCACAGCCAAAGTGGTTCAAGACATCAAAGTTCATGCTCAATCATCCACGTACAAAATCCAATAATGGTAAATTAGGTCATCTTAGAAAATGCCCAAACAAATGCAGAGTAAACCCAGTAATGATAAAAATACTTGTTTTCTTTTGAGAACAAACTCTTTGCTGTTTTTCCATCTGGCTTTCTTTAGGTTGAAATTTTAATTTGACTTTAACTTTGGTTTAAATAACACTTGCAAATTAGCATGCAAACACACCGGACTCCGAAGAAGGAAGCAGAAAAAACTTATCTAACATTCACACCAAACCTGTCAGACATTCAGTGTTTCTAACACGGTCTTAAAAGGGTATTTAGGAATTTAAGTAGTTAATTTTTCAGTTCTGGGTAAGAAACATGGATAAATATGTTTAATTTCAATCCAGTTTATTCATATAGCGCCAAATCACAACAAAGTTGTCTCAGGGACTTTACAGGAACATTCACATAAAATCCAGTTAGTAAAGTTCTCTATCTAAGGAATCCTGCAGACAAATTGAATCTTGGCTTCGTTGCAGTCTCCCATCCTGAGCAAGCACAGTGGAGACAGTGGGAAGAAAAACTCCCTTTAACAGGAAGAAACCTCCAGCAGAACCAGCTCAGGACAAGAGACCATCTGCTTTGACCATCTGCTTTGACCGGGTGGTTGAGAGGACAGGAAGGAGAGACAGAAGAACACAGAATGGTAGGTCCAGGTCCAGGTATAGGTCCAGGTATAGGTCCAGGTCCAGGTATAGGTCCAGGTATAGGTCCAGGTATAGGTCCAGGTATAGGTCCAGGTCCAGATATAGGTCCAGATATAGGTCCAGGTATATGTCCAGATAAAGGTCCAGGTGTATCTGAAAGACGAAAACATGTTAATGATAGAAAAAATAATGACAAATACATAACAGGTTGAGCAGAGTAAGTAAAGACAGCAGCAGAGTGAAAAGATGAGGTCAGTTTGTCCTCCAGCAGTCTAAGCCTATAGCAGCAGAACTAAGGGACAGCTCAGGAAACCCAAGCCGACCCTAACTATAGGATTTATCAAAAAGGAAAGTCTTAATCCCAGTCTTCAAACTGGACAATGTGTCAGCCTCACGGACAGAAACTGGAAGTTGGTTCCACAAGAGAGGAGCCTGAGAACTGAAAGATCTTCCTCCCATTCTGCTGCTGGAAACTCTAGGAACCACAAGTAAACCTGCAGTCTGAGAGCGAAGTGCTCTGTTAGTAAAATATGTAACAATAAGATCTGTAATAAAAGATGGAGCTAGGTTGTTGAGAGCTTTGTAGGTTAGAAGTAAGATTTTGAATTCTATTCTGGATTTGACAGGAAGCCAATGGAGAGAAGCTAAAACTGGAGAGATATGATCTCTCCCAGTAACTCCAGTTCAGACTCTGGCAGCAGCATTTTGGATCAACTGAAGACGTTTTAAAGAAGTATTTGGACACCCAGATAATAAACCATTGCAATAGTCCAGTCTAGACGTGACAAATGCATGGACCAGTTTTTCTGTATCATCTTTAGATCAGATGTTTCTAATGTTAGTGATATTACGCAGGTGGAAGAAGGAGGTTCTAGTAATCCAACATTTTTCAGTCAGGTCATCAGGACAGTTTTTTTTTGTGCTGAAACGTTTCGCCTTCCATCCAGAAGGCTTCATCAGTCAAGGAAACGCACAACAAAACTGATTCTTCCCCCAACAGCTTACTCCAAAGTGGAACAAACCAGTTCTGCTTGTGATAAGATGGTCTCAACTGGAGTAGGCTGCCACGGTGGGTTCAAAGTGTGAGGAGGCAGGTACGATGTGGGCTGAGAGGGGCAACAAGATAATGTCTTTAGCTGGAATACAATTTTGCAAGTCGCGCTAGTGAAAATATATATATATATATATATATATATATATATATATATATATATATATATATATATATTTTTTTTTATTTTTTATGTTTTTAAACCATGCATCTTGCTTTTAGCAAACACTCAAAATTCATTAAGATTGCAACTGAAAAGTTTCCCATTTTCACATAATTTTGGTTTTCAAACTAGTTTCCAACATTTGCATCTCAGTGGGATACTACCTATACAGACAAACAGTACCTCACTCGCCCCTTATAATCTCTCTCTCCTAAAGGAACCACACCGCTCATCATTGTTTCATGTAAAGGCAACTCAATGCAATATCAAACATACATACAGAACTACAAGGCCAGGCTGATTCTGGCAGATCCTGATCATCACTCCATGGTGAGTTCAGGTTGCTTCCACATCTGGACGCAGGTATCTGCAGCCCAGATGTGGAACGAACAGACTGAAAAACTCATTCATCCCTGTAATGATCATGGTTCTCAACTAGGCCTGTCGCGATAAACAATAAATCAATTAATCGTCCAGCAACGTGTGTTATCGTGACAGGCCTATTGTCAACGACCAATGATGATTTCTCTACGGGTGTTTTAATGTCCTAATGTCTAGTGTGCACGTTTTGTGTGTCTGTCTGTGAAACTAATTGCCACTTGGATAATAAAGATGCGTGAACTTGAAAACACTTTAACGTAATATTTTGAAGACACAAGGAGGCAGTAGTTGTTTGTTCTCTTAGGATGCGTTGAAAAGCCAAACAGAAAATCAATATTGAGGAAAACAATTCAACCCACATTCATTACTTTTACACAAGTACTTGGATATAAAAGAGAACCCTAGGGCTAATATATGAATATGTTAAATGACATTAAATTTACTGACCTTTTGTTGGTGAAATAAATAAAAAGTGGCCCCAAAATGGATAATATTCAACATATTTTATTCAATATTCATGTATTCAACTGAGTCCCGAACAGTGTGGAGTTTTTAGGCGATATATTTGTAGGAACTCTGGACGTTTGATGAACTGAAGGTGCTCGTTGTTTGCCTGCAGACTTGAAGAAGACCCTGGCGGTGCTGCTGGACAACATCATGCTCAGGCTCGGCAAGCTCGAGTCCAAGGTGGAGAACATCTACAACGGCACGGGAAGTAACCTGACCAATGGCACCGTCTCGCCGAGCTCCGGAAACCCAGAAAAAGTGAACGTGGCAGGTTTGTGCTGGAAACGTTTGTTTTCCGTTTGCCTTGAAATGGCAGGATTGTTGGAGCACCAACAGTTGTGCTCAAAAGTTTTCATCCCCTGGCAGAACTTTGTTTGTTCCATTCTTCAGAGGATACGAACAACACTAAACCTTTCTCTGACTTATGGTTGGTGGTTAACGATGCAGTTTATTCTCAAACATGCAGTTCATGGGAGACAACCCAAGAGTTTACAGGAACTGGAGACGTTTTGCCAAGAACAATGGGCATCTTACCATGTGAGACAATAGCGTCTCATCCACAAGCGTCACAAAAGCCTTGAAGTTGTCATCGATGAGGCAATGCACAGGATTAAAACTAGAGTATGTCATTTATGATCAGGGCTGTTTTCTGTTGTTGTGAATAAATGTTGTCACCCAACCACTGAGTGAGTGAAAGAAAAGCTTTGGTGTTTTCATTATATTCTCAGAAAGTCCCGTTCTGCCAGGGTATGTAAACTTCTGAGCACAGCTGTATGAGTTTTGAACGCTCCTTTAGGAGTTGCTCATTGAGTACCTGGTCCCTACATGTTCAGACCTGCTCCGACCTACATTACACACTATAAATGTGTATTTTGTATTCCTGCCACACAGAACAAGATTCGACTCTTTGTCTTTACTACAAATCATTAAACTCTCGTGGTGACAGCTGCTTTACTTTAAGAGTCGACGTCAAAAACCCAAGGCAGACTCTGCCAGATGTGTCGTTTGAAACGGAAATGTTCACTTTTGTTCGTAAAACCACTAAAACCACAGTTTCCATCTTTCTGCGAGACGTTTGGTTCCACCGCTTTGACATTAATGAAACTTTTGGAAGCGATCGCTCGCTCTTTGGAAGGTCGGCCTCGTCTTTGTTTGATAATAAAAATGTCTGAATATGGAAATGATGCGAGTTTGCGATCGACTCTGATGCGCTGAGGAATTTAAAAAAGTACACCAGCTGTTTCCAAACGCAAATTGGCCTGAAGCAATTGGTAGTTGAGGTTTGTTGATGGCTGATATAAAGCACTAATTGATTAACGGTGCACACAAAATAGCTAAAATATAAAGTATAAAAAAGAAACGGTATACAAGGATCTAAGATAGATGCTAAACTATAATAATGTAAAATAATACAGTATATTATTAATATTTTATTTAATTTTTTCCAATTTTTCTGCTCTACTGGCCGATTTTTGTTGTAGAGGGCGAAACGGGGTGAGAGAGGGGGAGACGCTGCGGAAAGGTTGTCGGGACCGGGATTCGTACCCGCGACGCTGCTATGAGGACTAGCCTGGAACGTGACCCGCGCTCTTAACCCCTGCACCATAGCTGCAGCCCAATAATACGCTATATTAAACAGCAGCCTGAACATGAGCCTGTTGTGAGCAGATGGTATGAATTCAGCAGCCCATTTAAAGTGCCATTACTAGGCCTGTCGCGATCAACAATCAATTAATCGCATGATAAATGAAAATGATCGACCTCATTTTCATTTATCGGCTTTATCGTTTCTTCGTGTCTCTTTCTACTGAAGACTCTGGATGATAAAAGGCTCAGCTCCGGTTCTTCACTGACACCTCCCTTTCTCTTTAAAATCTGTTTTAACGTCCAAAATTGTGTTTTTGGACGTTAAAAGCAGCTACGCTGAGAAGCTAAGCTACGAGCTAAGCTAAGCTACGATCTAAGCTAACAGGCCGACCTCGTGGGGGGAACCTCCGTCTTGTCAAAGCTCCAAAATTCACAGTTGAAACCTGTGAATTTGTGTACAAAGTATTTTTTCTCTGCTAAAAGAAGCTGAGAACTTGTTTACTGATTAATTTTATTAAAAGCTTTGTGTGAAAAATGCTAAAGAGCTCAAACCACACCGGGCATCCGCCATTTTGAGAACTGAAAAACAAGGACGAGAGACAGCCCAGGTCACGTCAAGAGGCCTCCCTCCCGTTTTTCTTAGAGACACGCTGCTCACTCCCTCACTATCCATCCTTCAGTTCAAACAGTCTTTTACTGCCATTTAGTGGTCAAAACAAGGTACTACACACAAAATTAACCAACATTTCTTCTTAAATTTGACAATAATTACTGATTATTGTCAAATTTCAAACAATATTATCGTTAATCACAATATTTTTCTGAGACAATCGCCCAGCAACGTGTTATCGTGACAGGCCTACGCATTACAGTGCTCTTCATTTTCCGTCTTGTTAAATAATAATATAGCAATAAAATTAAGTGTATGATTATCTGTCTGTAAGCAAAATATTTCATGAACCGGTGGAAAAATGTCTTTGAAAGTATTCATTGGACATGCACCAACAACTCTTTAGCTTTTCACGTTTATCTGATTCAAGATGGCTGCCACATCCATTACCCATAGGTATCACAAAATGAGATTAATTTAACAGCTATTGAGCTAAAATGTGGTGTTTTAGTAGAACTCCCAACACATGACTTGAGTACCAGCAGATCACGTGTGTTGTCCTCCGTCATGGAGCAAAGAGGGGAGTTGGATAAACCCTCTGTCCGTCCATCTGCTGAGCTTTATAACTTGAAAAATGAGCAAAGTGATGACTTCCATTTTGGTGTGTGGCTGTATTTAGGTGTAAGAAGGGTCACAATTCAAAAATAGTTTTTCCACGTCTAATCTTAGGTGGCTTCAGCACCATGTATTCACCGTACCAGTATACCCACCAGATACTGTTTGTAAACTGGCCACCCCGATCATTTCAGAAAACTGTTTCCTAGTTTTTATATTCGTTAAAAGTAGTTTTCTCAAATGATTGGCATTGACAGTAGGGTGGCCAGAGCTTCATCTGTGGCAGGCAGTACACAAGTAAAGCACATTATTTAAAAAGTGGTAAATCGTTCAACAAGATACGTTGGCTGATTGCGTACTTTTATTTTTTATTGCTGTTAGATCAAGAAGCTACCAACCACACGTGTTCAGCTTTTCTACAAACTGGCTTGAGTTTTGGCCAAACCAAGTAGAGAAACCCAAGACCCGTGGGTAGTCCACCGTAAACGGTTTGATAAATGCATTTATATTTGTACAGATGCACCTACTAATCGGCTTATAACCCGTTCTTTTGAAAGTAGGACATAGTGACGCCCACGTCCCTCTCTTGGCAGTGGACCAAAGTGTAGCGCTCGAGTCCCCATTGAAGCCTGTGCTGTGTCTTGAAGTGGGTGGCAGGCAGAGCTCCTTGGCAGCTTCTGCAGTGCTGCTTCCTGACTGGAACGCAATTACCGAGATAAGAATCTGGACAGTGAAGGGAACACGCCTGTCTTTCATGGAGGCTGCTATCAAGATGGAGCTGAACAGCAGCCAGGGGACTGTGCCGCTTCCACCCCAGGTTCTTTTCTTCTTCTTCTTCTTCAGGAACTCTGGCATGCCGAGGACTGGAGCTGGGACTTCTCACTCTCCTGAACCTTGTATTGCTCTTCTGCTTTGTGTGGAGTGTAGGATGTGTTCATGTGAATCTAAAGTCGGCTCAGATTTGATCCTTCTTTCTATCTTTGAAAACTCACAAACAAGTGGATTCACAACTTATTTATTGGATATCAAAAACATTAAATCTGCTCCTCTGGACGTTCAGAAGACAAAACAAAACAAAATGTAGAAACGTTTCGTCTCTCATCCTGAGGACTTCCTCAGTCTGAGGTGCTGTTTTCAGCTCAGTCTCTTAAATAGCACCTTCTCAGGGTGGATCAACCAGTTTGCTGCTGACAACCAGAACCAGCTGATCACATGCTCAAGAAGGACCATCAGCCTAACAATGGATCATTAGCACCTGATGGCTGTTTACTGTTCACAGAGGGCTGAGTGATACTAGCAATCACAGCATTGTAAGAGGGGGACAGTTGAACACGTCAAGCCAGCAGCAAACTGGTTGATCCACTCTGAGAAGGTGCTATTTAAGAGACTGAGCTGAATACAGCACCTCACACTGAGGAAGTCCTCAGGATGAGAGACGAAACGTTTCTACATTTTTTTGCTTTGTTTTGTTTTTTGTTTTTTGAATGTCCAGAGGACCAGATTGAACTTTTAGATTTTTCTACCTGGATTATTGAGCAGCATCAGGATGTTGCTCCCCATATGTGAAGTAGGTTGACTGCAGGCACAGTTTCAAGAGTTCTGCTGCCGTTTCGATTCAAAGTCTGTTCGGTGTCGCACTTCACTGATCATTAAATGACATCATCATGATCAGTGTTGTGAAGTAGACAGCTGGACCCAAACAAGAGTTCTGTGCAGCAGCTGCCGCTGATTAAAACTATAGTTCACACATCAGTGAGCAGTGACTGAGCGGTGGAGCTGCCTGGACCTCCGTCACCTCGTTAACTTTTACACACGTTATTTTTGGACCCTTGTTTTATGCGTCACACATGGAAAACCGTGGGTCTTTGTCTCTCTCACGTGCTTTTATGTTGCAACCTATGCGTTACAGAGGAAGCCTCGTTTGAGATGAGGAGGTGTTGAAGGTTCTGCTTCAGCTCTCAGGACGTTCCCTTGTACACGAGCCCAGACAGGTCCATCCGCTGCACATTCTCACTCGCCCACGTGCCTCGTTGGAGCAAACCGTGCACACTTGGGTGAATTTTCCTTCTGCGTTGGGGCACCTCCTTGGAGAGCCCCTCTGCTCGCTGCAGATCTTCTATCAGGAATGTCAACTGTGGGAAAAGGCGACGGACGGTTTGCTCTTGTCAGGTTTTCTTTCGTGCTACGCAGCGTCTCGTCGAGCTTCCTGAAGAGACGCGACGCGACTTCTGAGGTCGTCTGTGCTCGTGCTGCTCGCTCGCAGATACACATCTGGAAAATATCTTGAAGAGCCGAATGTTGTCACAAATGTGATGTAAAGAATATATTTGAGTGCAGCTCAGTCGTGTTGGGCTCCGTGTTATGTCGGAGAGCGAGATTATGTCAGGAAACGGGATATTTTTAGGTATGCTCTACTTCACAACTGCACATTTAAAAACTACAGTATTGTTGGTATTATT